TAGTCTTTTATGCAAAATTTTATAAGTGATCTAGGTTATAAAAATTGACCTAAGTAATCTTGTTTTAAGCATTGATTTAGGATTGAATAATGTTATAGTGACTCTTCTAGTATAATTATGATGTTGATTTTTTAATTATGATGTGGAAAATCTAAATTGTATTGAATTGAGGGTTTATGTTAAGGCATAAAAGATAAACTATGAAGTAGACTTGGTAAGTCTTCGAATGTCTATCTTTACTTCCAATCGTGATTGATTATGGTTAAGTCATGATGTTATATTGGAGTATGTCTTGTATTAGGATTGATAGGGTGGTATGATGTATAATTGAAATGTCTTGACTATGTTTTGAGGTTGATCAGCATGTATGTGATATAAGGATGGTGATGACTATCAATGTGCCTTGTTATGCTACGAAATGTTAATGTATTAACCTCCCTTATATGAATTGTGACAAAAGGACTATACTCGTGATTATTGAGCTATTGATGATGGTGATCAAACAAAGGGTACACCCTATGACTAACTAAGATATGATCGATAGTTAAAGGCTTAAAGAAATTTTAACGAAGGGTCTTAGCTTAGCACGGAGTGAACTTGATGAGGGGAGGTGAATACATTCCATAGAGGAAGATTTTCCCTATAGTTCTACATGAGATGTTGACTTCCCAAAGATAAATACTAATCCAATAGATTCCCATGAGAGGATACCCCAACTTCCTCGTTGTATGAAGAGGGAATATACTTTCTCTTTGTTCTTGAACTATGTTGCCCCAATAGGAAGACTAGCTAGTTGATCCTCCTAGAAAGCTATGTTTATGTTTGGTTTTACTTTGGCCGGTAGACCACCTTCCATCGGTGCAAGGTTTTACAAAACTTGATTCCACTAAGTTCTTGTGGTCTATGTAAGTTAAGGCAAGTGTTCCCTAAATTAAAATAAAGTAATGAAGTATAAACTAACTAAGGTGACATTAGAGGTTTAACTTAACCTAGGTACGGGTATGGGGATCTACTTATGTCTTGCACTAGTTGACCTTGATGGAAGTTGTAGGAAGTTGATATTACGTATGTATATGATGATAACATATTGATGCTACAATATAAATTATATTATATGATTATGATTATCCTCTTAAACGTGTAATTGGGTTATACTATCAAAGTATGATGTTATGTGTTCTTAAAGGTTATGTTAGGTGAAGTTGGTCATTGGTCATGGTTTCTTGTTGGAGCAACTTGGTTGAGTAAAGTTATGGGACTTTGCTTGGTCATTGCACTTGTTGACTCGATGATGATTTCTTAGTAGTTGTCTAGATTAAATCTTACACATGCTTGTGATGTTAATTCCTTGATGATAGAGTTGTATTAGATTATGGGCCAAGTATCTTGATATTCATATTTCTAGGTTGAGTTAGAAAGCATATGTTGTTGTTTGGTATGACTTGCTTGATTGTGCATAAGACTTTTTAAAATGGTAAAAATAAGCATGGTTTAAACTAAATGTCCCTTTTTAGCATGTTTTATTTGTGTATATGGTCTCATACTTAGTACAAGTGGCGTACTTTCCAATTTCTTCCTCTTTCACAAATATTTTAGGTTATGGTCATTGAAGAATCATTCGAAACGACCTGAAGAAGGCTTGGATATTCTCTATCATCCAAATGGGTAGGTCCACACTTTTCAAGGGCCATGCCAATATCTTGCTTATGAATTTTCTTTTTTTAAGAAGACTTTTATGTTCATTCAACTTTCATTTAAGTACAATTTGTATAAGCCTATATGTGGCTTCTTTACATTTGACTACGATATCCACTTTCATGAACTTGAGATGGTATAAGATGAGATAATCCTTAAGACTATCTTCTGTCTTATGTATATATTTTATGTGCAACAAAAGTAGAAGGCTATGTAACCAACCTGTATGAAGGGTCTATGTATACTCCATATATATATTATGTGTATGTAGAGGTCTATGTAAACCTCCAAATAGAAGTAATAAATGTTTTAAATTTTTCGCTAACTTCGACTTATGAATGTGATGATGTAATGTAAGAGGCTAGTCCTAGTCCTCAAAGAGGGTGACGTCGTCGGTAACATCTACGGGGAAAACCCGGATGTTACACAAAATATGATGAAATATAAAAATTTGCCAATAAGGAGTGCCTACCTATCGCAAAGATGTAGTTAGACAGTTAATTGGAGTAAGCGATTAGAGGTAGGGAGACCATGATCATAAAGTCAACCCTGTAAATAAATAATTTTATAATCGTAATTAGTTCATCTATGAGGTGTGATAAATGAAACCCTATACATGTTGCAACCTTGGGATTCTCGAATCACTATGAGTAATTTTATTATTTACCTCCTATATTCTTTTCTTTACAAATAAAATCAAACTATTTTGGCACTCTTAAATGAATAATTAGACTAGTATAATTTAGTAAAATAGTTAATCGACCAGTTCATTGGGTTCGATACTCTGAATCTTTTAAGAGTCGCTATTACTTGCCCGACCACGTACATATGCGTGTGAAATGAGGAGAAACAAGTTTTAGGAGACATTACCAGAATCTTAAAATTAACAATCCTTTTAGGTTATGCTTTTTATTTATTGGTTTATCTATTTTCATACATAGGTTTTCTACTACTTAATACTCTTTGTGGATGAACGGGAATTATAATTATTCTTATGTGGAAAGACCTTGTCCTTGTTGCAAATGAGCCCACTTTTGGCAGCAATGTCAATATATTTTCACGGGATTGTGTGCGCCATCTTAATCCTGTAAAATTTTTAGTATTTTGTGGGTTAGTTGTACCGTGTTTTGCTATCCCACTCCAAACCCCTACCATGATGATTCTAATACTCTTTGTTCCTTTAATGGTATGGATTCATTCAGTAAATTAATTGATGAATATGAAAAGCTTCATAGGATAACCATACATGTGAAGCACTCTTCATTACAACTAATTAGAGATTTAGCAGCAATTGTTAATGATAATAATTTAATTGTCACTAAATCATGTTTTAAGGTCAATTATAAATGGCATTTGTCCTTTCGCCGATAATATTATAGCCTTTTAACGACAATTAATCTGACCTTCAATGAAAATTACTTGAAAAGTCTAATGCATTCAACCAAATTCCTTTCAATTAAATAAATTCCCAAATATTCTCTACCCCAATTTATTCCCCAAATTCTAAGGCTCGTCACTCTTTTCCATTCCATCTGAAACGGTAGACTTTACATTCACCAGATTGATCGTAGCTCACGCAATTTCTCTGAAGCACCAGCAAGTCTCCTTCCATGGCTATGGACGATATATTCAGACTGAAGCACCGACAATTTTCATTCTTTCAGTATACTCGCTTTTACACTTCCAACCGGTAGAATCACTTTTTAATTTTCTTCTGAATTTCAGCAACCTACTGATGAATCTCGATCTCTCATGCTGGCTGATAATGTATACATCCATGTGTTATCAGCTTATAAGGTATGAAATATGCCTTTCAACTTTAATTTTCTTATAATTTTGTTTAAAGAAGTTGATAAGATTAGGAATGTTACTAGATTCACAAAGTGTTCGACAAAAGAAAAATTGATCTACTCTTGTATCAGTTTTTAGTTTTTTGTTGCGATGTTAGCATTTTCTATCAATGTTACTTAGACAACTTTTGAGAATTTCACTTTTCAAACACTTGACTTGATTTTATTAGTGTACTATAGCTTTGGCGAAAATATAGCTCCAAAAAACAGACGAGAAAGATTTTTCTTCTCATTAGAAAGGTAAGTCATTAACTAATTCTTAAGAATCTCTCTTGTTTCTAGAGAAATTCAAGGCATAATTTGATTATATATAGGCAAAAATTATCAAGGGACATCACAGGTTGGAGTTTAGATTTTGTTTAGGATGATTCTCATAGGAAGTTCACAAGCAAATAGGATGTCAATATACTGGCGTAACTCTTTCCGAGTGGCAGCTGGAGTATGCAAAGTTGAGAGTTGAGCGAGCAGACCTTCAGGTATACCACTTGCATTGTCTATTAAAGTTCAAAGTAGCTATGTGACTAAAATATATAATTTCTACATGTTGAGGCAAGTGATAAAATCAATTACGAAATTTCACTTCATGATCTTAAGCCTTCTATAACTTAAATGATTCGTTTATTAATCGTGGTGTCTGGGCTAACTTAGGCACAACTTTTTACATCTTTATACATCCTGTTGACATAGAAACATGATCTTTTTTTTATTTGTAAGAGAAAGACGAGTTGTCTGTACTATTCAATAGATGTCAAGTCAATGTTATACGATAAATATGACAGGATTATATCAGTGTATGCTTTTATCCGTCTATGTATTAACATATAATTTGTAGTACTTAAAATATGTCATGCGAATATTACAATTTTATTAATTATCATTTCACCGATGTGTTTGAACATATTGGTCATGATTTTATAGGGGAATTCTTAATTTGTTGCGAGTCTGCATTGGCAGAAGATGGGCTTCTAGTTATGCAGGTAATGAACACATTTAACACGACCCTTGAACATTTTCCACATTTTTTTGCCTTTTCTTAATTTGTCTTGAATGACAAGTGTTTGCTTTCCTCAATTTTGGTTCAATGACAGACGTTACATATGTTGAACACATACAAAGCTCGGACTTCATGAAAGAGTATATATTCCTAGGTAGTAGCTTGACTGTACTAAATCGAGTAACATCAGTCATGACTTCCCCTTCCATCCTATGGTAACAAAGATTTTATTTTGTAATTTTTCTCTAGTGTGCTTAACCTGTCAATCTTACAAAAACATTTCTTTTTGAAAGAATTTGATAATTAAATGATACAAGTGCAATGTAGTGTTCCTGGAAGATATAGGTTGTATTAAGTTTTATTGTTCTTTTTATTGCAACACGGAAAGACCTTGAAGAAGCCACGAAAGTCGTACAAGAAAAAATGATTGTTTGCAGAATTGAAGCTTGTAGAGGAGTATGGACTAAGGTGCAAGAGGGCGCTTTGGAGAGTTCAGTAATTTGAACCGTATCTGGAATGCTGCTAGAATGCTTCTGACATTGGATGAGAAGGATCTACGTCGTATTATTAAAGGTGAAGATCTCTTTAGGAGGATTAACAGGTATAGATTGTTGGATGAGATTCAAAACAAGCTCGATTTTGTCTTGGCACTCACTGTGGAGAACTTTCTTGAGTGCCGTCTCAAAACACTTATGTTCAATACTTGCATGGCTAAGTCAATTCATCATGCCAGAATGCTCATCAGGCAAAGGTACATCAGAGTTGGGAGGCAGGTGGTGAATGTTGCTTCTTTTAGGGTGCCAGTAGACTCCAAAAGCACATTCACTTTTCTCTCACTAGTCTGTTTGGCGGTGGGTGTCCTGGAAGAGTGAAGCGAAAGAACCAAAAGTCTGCTGCCAAGAAGGCTGCTGGTAGTGATGGTGATGATGAAGAGGATGAATAATGATCAACTTAGTGTTTTGATCTATTTGGCTTGTAGTACTGACCTATAATATTTTTTCTGGTATTGTGGCTTATCTTTATGTAGTACTAAAAAATATTAAACAAAAGTTTCTAATCATAAATTTTTCACTGTTTTAAGAGTTTTAATTTAAAAAAAGTTTGATTGTTCTTGAATAATGTGGTTTAAGTTTAAAAATTCTTCTATTACTATCTTTGTATTGATTTCTCTGGCTATTCCTATGAATTAAGGTTAATTTATGGTCAATTATAATTTCCACTAGCAGAGGTCTTATTTATCGGCAATTATAATTTATGAATATGGAAGCTTTACCAGCAATAGCTATTGCCGCTAAAAGTAAATACCTTTTGCGGAAATTTACTGGTCCTTACTTGTACGCTAAATTAATGTCGCTAAAGTCTTTAGCGAAGCTGGATGCATTGACAATAGATTAAATGTCGCTAAATATTTTGTGGCAATAAAAATTGCCGTTAAAAGAAAAATTAAATGCCACTAAAATTCTCTTTTGCTGCAGTGCTTATAGATAGAAAAATGAAGAATTTTTGAAGATGTTTGTTTTTTTCTTGCATAATCAGAACCTAAACAATGAATTGAATGAAAATGTGATTGTGTTATGACGCTATAAAATCCAATTATGGGTTTTGTGATACTCAAAAGGCACTCACAAGTAAAATAGAGGTTCTAAAATGGGAGGATATACAATGCAATCAGACTTTTCTTGAAGATACAACGTTTGAGAAATAGTACAAAAGTGAGAATGTTCTAAATAATGTTGCTTTGGAGTCGAAGCATCTTAAATCTCCTTCAAATCACTTTTCTATATTATGCTTAGATGGCGACATGAAATTTGAGTAATCTAAACTAATGCATGAGTGTATAGATGATGAACGAGACCCCTACATCTTAAAGTTTTTATGTCCACTTAGGCAAAACGACATCCCTCACCTAAGGACCTAGAAATGCAAAATGCAAAATATATTACTTGGTTCCTTTATCTTTAAACCACCACTAATAGAGAGGAGCGAAAAAATTGATGGAAAGATAGGGGTAAAATTCATAAGTTCAAATTAGAAGTATAAGTGGCATATTTATTTATGTCGTGTCATGATGATAATTAGGCATTTATTGGGAGGCAACCTAATTAGTAGTGTTGCTGCTTATTTTATTTTATTTTATTTTTTTATTATCATTTATTTGCTTTTTTTTGTCTTGTTTTTGCAAATTAGGGGAAGTCTGTGTACCCAAAAGTTTGAAGTAAAGGAGAACGTTTGAGGTTAAGTGTGGGGTGCATACAAACCTTCATAAAAATTTAGAGAACATGCTATTATCTAGGCCTTAATGGACTGAGGAAGTTTTCCTAACCCTTGTTATAAATTTTATTTGATGTTTTGGGGGGGGGGGGTATAACATCTTTTTAAGTGTGGGATGGATGATTGAATTCCTACTTTTTACTATTTTATTGCGTCTTTTCTTATTTTAGGATGAGTTCCTTGGCTTTTGTTTTCAGTGGTTTTCTTGAGAATAGTCCCTTTGAACCAAGTGTCTTTTATTATTTAGGGATAACTTTTTTAACAAAAAAAGAGAAGACCTCTTTGAGTGGTGTGATACCTTCTATTTAGGCCTAATATTTGAGTAGTGATTTCTTGTGAATGCTTGATTAATAAGGAAATTGCAAACTCGGTGACACCGAGGCTCACAAATATGAATTTTTATATAATAATTTAATTTTGTATTTTGTTATGATCCTGTCTCTCTTAAAAGTGAAATTGATCCATCTTAATTTATACTTGTTTCATGTGTGGTGAAAATTTTTTATTTCATGTTTTGCATCTTAGTCTGAAACATTTTCTGCATGTTATAAACGCGAAATAAAAAATGTTATTTTGTTTACGAGATGATGATAAGATTTCTTTGATCTTTTAAATTTTTGCTTTTTCACATATTATACTAGTAGTTTGCCATTTTGAGTCTGCAACCTTTTGTTGGTAGTCATATTTTGCCCGTAACTATTTTTGAATACATTATTTTTGTACCTTGCTCTCATGAGCATTGTAGCATAGATTTATTCTAATTTTTAATCTGGAAAAGAAAAATGATGATTGAGTGAAAAGGTAATCAAACATAGCTATAAAGTTCTTAAAAAGCCCTCCTTGAAAGAATATGACTTATATAAAAGAAGAGAAGAACAAAAGAATGACTAAATAAAAACCTTTGAAAACAATGATAAAAAACGATTGAAGCATTCTTCAGAAGAAAATAATGAGTGATGTAGTCTAAAATTGTCATGTCCTTAAGGAAGTGTAATACTATTGCAAATACGATCAGTGCAATATTATCTAATAGATGTGCAAGAGCTATCAATAACGGATAATAAAACCATATGAGCTAAATGTGAAGTACGATGTATACTCCCCATCGAGAGGACTCAATGTATCTTTCCATAGGTATAGATGTATGACTGGCATGATCACTAAATGATTCCCATCGAGGGAACTTAAATGCTACCTGGCTCGTCGTTTTCACACTATCTGGTATTATGCGATTCCCATTTGATTAAGTGACTAACACAGTATGGCTGAATTTCTGTAATTTATTTGATAGCTCTAAACGGACATGTCCACTGAGAATGCAACATTATTAAACATATTTTGACACATTCAAAACCGAGGAATGTACATGTGGAAGATTGATATATCTGACCTAGCATTTGTAATTAACGAACTAAAGAAGTACATAACTTTCCACCTTTGTGCATGGCCTCCATTTGCCGACAGATTCAAACAACTGAACAAAATGCAAGGGATTAGTCCAAAGTGGATTGGAATTGACATCACATGTATCAAAAGAAAAGAGATGGAATTAATAACTAAATGGAAGCTACAATTAGAAACCAGGAAACTTCAATTATCGTAATTACTTTTTACTAGAAAAGTTTTAATGGAGACAAAGATATGAAAAATAAATCATCAGATGTGACCTCAATACAATTCAAGAAAGACAGAGATTTTAATAACTAAATTCATTAGGCATCAGACATAAATATAAATCACTAGCGGTAGACATTTGGACAGTAACAACGACATAGAAAACTGACCTTGTTAATAGTGAAAGAGACTTAATCACATATTCAGTAAACTAGAGATAAAAAAAAGGTCTAATAGGTAACAAAGTAAACAACAATGTGGCTTAACACATGATTGTTAGATCTCACTTGCACGCTGATAGAGATCAACTAAGAATAATCTCATTCTTTTACCGTAGTAGGCTAGTAAAAGACTAACATATAACCAAACCAAAAGCAGCTTACAATATACTAAAGAAAAATAAGCATGCTATGCACATGAAAGACCACTACCGATAAATTCATGCTCCGAGTAATCTTAAAGACAAAACTTAAACATAACCAAAAATAATAGATGTTAGGCAGAAAAAATAGGCTTAAAAAAATCATGATAGGCGGTAAGAGGCTAGTTGAGGTTCTGCCTTTACATATACGACCACATTAAAAGCAACAAATCAGCAGAGGTCGATACTTAAAGACGAAGGAAAAATGCAAATAGAAGCAAACTGATTCAGCAACAAGCATGTGAATTAAAGTAGAATGAGAGGTGATAAGGACGAACAGATACTCTAAAATAACTTAAACATAAAAAATCATGCTTGGGTCTGTCAATTTATTAACATACTTCAAATCCAATTTAGATGATGGAATTCATGATCTAAACAAATGTAAGCAACCGAAAGAGCACCACGAAGGGAAATTATTGGAGCAAACAAGGAAAAGAAACTGAGAGCTTTGTTGCATTTCAATAACAACAGTAGCAAAACTTCAAGGAAGAAGAAAGAAAATGTTTACCATTAATATAAATAATGTTAACATGTAATGATTAAATAGATTAAGAATATCGAAATGGAACACATAAAGCGAATAGGAATTGATCAACAAAGCTAGAAAATATTTTACCTTCTTCGGAGCAATGACAGAGACAAGAACGAGCAGGGGAATGATGGCGAGTTCCACCACAAAATCACGAAGGGGACAGCCAAACGAAACGGCCTAGTTTACCCTTTATTGAATGTATATTTATATGTGTTTTATGACTAACTTCTTGAACTATCCCCTCTGCCTTAGTTAAATTTCTCTCACCTTTCTTCTGAATTTTTCCAACTAAAAAATTCTCTTCCCTAGTGAAGAACGATCAACTCTTTTTTTATCAGTGGGGAAGAGAAGTTTATATAGAATAAAATTAGGGTTCAAAAGAGGGGAAAATCCTGAAAATTTAATTCCAGGCCCACGAAATTTGGAGTTCAACACTCAAATTCTATTCATAACTAAGGAATATTCCAAGGGATTCCCTCAAATTTTGAACGGACAGAATTGAGGCGGACTCTCTGGATCGATTGAACATACTCTCTGCTTAACGTGTCTTCATTTCGTTGCTACAAGGGCTGAGACGCGGCTACAACAGGATGAAATTGCAGCTGGGACAGTACTGTGTGTACTGCTTGTCCAAGAAAGGAAAGAAGATGACAACACAAAGAAGTAAACTGCCTATGTCACAGCTCCTTTCCGTCTATTTTGACGCCACATGACTTGTCGTTTCTTGCGAGAGAAGCGGTGAGCAGCGTACGGGACTTTTTTTGCCGTTCACTTGCAATATAGTTTGTGTGTTTTGATGTTGTGAAGACATTTATTGCTGCTGTACGCTTCTGCGTTTCTTCTTGTGAAGAAGAGGAGGGATGGGTCAGGTCAGGTAAACTTCTTTTTGGGATATTTTAAAACTGTTGTACGTTGTATGGGTATCTTTTAGTGGGCTGCTGAGGTTGTGGTAATTGACCCTGCCAATTTGGAAATTGATGGGTTTTATTGTTGGGTCTCTTGAAGAATTGTAGTTTGGGGAGTTGTATTAAAAGGGGTCTAGAAAGAGAAGCCAAGAATGTGGTAAATTGACTTGAGAAAAGTGATCACACGAATTTTAATTTCTATCAAATTAAGGCAATTGGTTTAAATCGGCCAAAATCAAAATAAGATGAATTATTATAAGTAGTTAACAAGCTTATTAATATTAACAAAACTAATCAATAAACTTAATTATAACCTAACTAGTTTAGAATAAAAATATTAATCAAATAACTAACTCCATATATTCAAGTGAGACTAAACCTTTTTAAGACGATTTTTGAATGTCCATAAAATATACTAAATATACATGACATTGTAAAGGTTTTGCGAAAATAACAAAGTATCTTAAAATGACTTGGAAAATATCTCGAATTTAATAAAGTCAATTATTTCAAATTGTTGGAAACTGAAGAAGCTCGATAATTAATTATATCGGGGAGACTCAAAATTGGGTGTCACCAAAGATATTTGAATAATTATTAAAAAAGATTCAAATATAAAAATTATATTTAATTCTAAATTAAAAGTTGTAATATGCATTTATTTAAAAGTTCAAAACGACTAATTGACAAATAATACAAATCTTGGAGGTAAATTTGAAATGTTTTAAGAAGTGCAAGACCTATTTTTCTCAATAAATGTTCCCTCCTCTTCAATTAGCCATCAAACCCTAATTTTTTGTAGACGCCACAATCCTTTGGTATGTTGATGACCTTCATGAGCTTGATGTTGTACCTCGAATGACATTCTTGAATTTATTAATGTTTGTTTAAGGATGCAAATGACGATAGGTTCAAACATACATCCTAGTAAGATTAGAAAATTTCATTTGTTCGAGAATATATACTTCAGGTAAAATCATACATGTTAATTCCATATTATCAGAAATTTATTTGAATTAGGTTTTACACACAAAAATTAAATAAATTCTAGACAACTTTGTTTACTTTCAATATAAGTGAGTAATTTTACATATGTGCTATCAGTATATATTTATGTGTAAAGTTTTTGGTATAAGTCATTCAATGATAAATTAAATAGAATGTCTTTTTATTCTAAAATTTTATAAAAGAGACTTCAGAATTATTAATTATTTTATGCTTAGTAAATTCATAGATCTGGCTTGTTAAGACGTGATGAATCATTCTATTATGCCCTTTAAAATTATATGATCGTAACCATTGGTTATACTACATTAAAAGTGTTTTCTCTAATGCTTTTCTAGGCTTAAGTTTAAAGCTAAATATATATATATATATATATATCCCTTATTTAGAAGAGGGAGTTGAAAAGACCAACACAGCTTTAAAAACTTGTACCCAAAGCTATTTAAATTGTACTTTAAATATGACTAACACAGCTTTAAGGACAAAAAATACAGCTTTAAAAAAGTTGTTCCCAAAGCTATTTAAATTGTACGTTAAATATAGAATATATATTTTCTTTTAGTTAACAAGGATAATTCTGTAATTTTATCATTAAATTTGGACATTTGTGCAGGATGAACAAGGGCAGATGGGTAATTTCGCTATTCTCTATCCACTTTACTTCTTTCCTTCTTTGTTTCTCCTCCACATTTGCTTCTACATTGATTTCTCCTCCACAATTCCTCTCCATTAATCTCCATTTCTCCTCAAATTTCACTTCAATGTTGTTGTTCAGATAATACAAATTAGAGGTTTTATCGCATAGTGGTCAGAAATTAGAGAGAAGAAGAGGTGTAGAATACAACTCAGGTAACAATCTTTTTGAGCTTAAATTTGAACAAATTGTTGTTTTGTTCTTGCATGCAGCATCAGATTTCATTCTTTGTAGCCATGAGATTATTTTGGTGTGTTTTGTTTCTGCTCTTCAAATTTGAATGCTTCAACAAAGGTTGTTCATCTTCTCAACTTATAAGCTTGTGTATAAGCTTCTGTTTATCACAGAATTAGGTGATAATTGACTCAAATATTTGTAGGGAGACAAGTAGTTGTGTTTATATATATATATTGTGATTTGATAGAACATTTGACAGTAGTTTTAAGCCTTTCCCCTGCATCCACATTGTTGTCATCGAAATTCCACCAACTACATCTTTCCTTCGCCGCCGGTAACCATGCAAGCTATCCAATCTTCATCTCTCCGGCCATCTCCGGTCGACCCATTTCTCAAAACCATACCCCAATTCACCAATTGTAAGCCATTGAGACCCAAAAGAACCCCTTTTATCTCAGCTTCATCCACTACAGTTTCAGCCCCAACAAGGGAAAAAGACCCCAAAAAGCGTGTTGTTATAACTGGCATCAATCTGACTCCACCTCCACCTTCTATTATGAGGTTTGCTATGAAGATTCATCTTGTGGAAACTGTATTAGATATTACTACCAGATTTATGTCAATATACATTTCTACTTACAAATAGTTATTTAGAAAGCCAAAATATTGTTCTTTACAAGATGTACTTTTCTGTGTGTCAAAATTACCTACATATTTCTCACAATTAGTTCCTTCTTTTTTTTCCTTCTCAATTAGTACTGCGGCCTTGGAAAGGTGTAAAAAGTGTATTGAACTTATTGCAAACACTCTACAATTGGAAGGATTTTAGCGTAATGATGCATTTGTTCATGCTGACACAGGCGAGGTATGTTATTGCTGAGATTCTTTTCAATTGATTGAACAATAATGGAAGTGAATCTAATACTTCATAGTTAATAATATCATTAAGGAAATGTGTCTTTTCCAGCAAGTTGAAGTTCATGATGTGCCTCTTGAGATAATTGTTACACAGTCATGTTAATTATACGAGTGCATAGAGATTTACCATGTGGTTTAGAAGGCTGTAGTACTCTACTAAAATTTTCAAAGTATTCATCGTTTTTATGGTCTATTTCTGTATACATGTAGAACCAATTAAGTTGATACAAGATAAATATAAGAGGTTGAATCACCTGTCGAAACTGGTCATTTGCGGTTGAATTGGGGCTAAAGTATCATTTTAGAGGCAATATTTATTGTTGAGTTAATTCAGTAGTAGAATTTGAGGAGATCAAAACTCAATAAAAGGATTTCTGCAAACTGCAACACTTAACATGCCATACAATTGATAGAATTACTGTAAATCAGATAACTATTTGCAGATGTGTTATAAGATTTAATTGGGGGTATGGTTGTTTTGCGGTCACAGGTACTGATTATCGAAGTGAATGCAGTTCCACGAATGAATCCTTCCACCGTTTTCATTCATCAGGTGATATATCTGCTTCTTTTTCAATGACAACATATATTTTCAATTTTAGACCAACTTTATGCTATTTGTAATTATCTGCAAGAGGACTATATACAATGTCATAGATATATATATAAAAAAAGGGGTTCAGTGAGCAATTCGAATAAGTGAAACTTCAACGATTGACATTATCGTGTTTGTTGTATTTAGGCACTTTCAGAGCAACCTCCCCTGTATCCGCAACAGTTCTTCCACACGTTGCTTGATCTGGCATCAGAGAGATCTATGTGAATATAATTATATCAGAAGATTTCAGGTTGTTCATTTCTCTCTTACTATCTGTTGTCCATCCATCATTTTCAGCATGAATGAGTTGGGGAAATATTCAACAACCCAACACAAAGCACGATTCACACGAATTACATAAACTCAACATATCAAATTGAAAGAGTACTTTACAATGGGTTTAGTACCTTGGTCTAGGATCAAGTAAGAGGAAAAGAGATGAGGTCATTTCTTTTACCAATACCAAAGATCCTCATCACAAAAGAATTGAAGAGTTTGTATACATAACTTTTAGTGGTTCCACACTATACATGTCCAAAATTTTGATCATATACGTCAAAATTAATTTAACACTCCTGCATCGCTGGATATGGAGATGATTAAATGTAAATTATGTACACTAATTCTGTTCTGTTGAAATCTTTCCAAATATCCAGGAACTTTTGTAGTTTGATTTTACATAAAAATCTATCATTTTCAGTATCATGAACTATCAATATTATACAAGAAACCACTGTTTATTGTGATGTTTGAAACCAAAACAAACTGCTTTCTTCTTTTGTGTCTGAATTGATGTTAAAAATGTGAACTTAAAATATCTGTTTATTTAGGAGATAAACCAGTGTTCTCTTTTAGAGTGTATATAAATATTGACTATTGTTAAGTTTTAGTTGCAAAAGATTGAATGTATTGAGAATAATTGAGTGCAAGTGAACAAGTTACACCATAGCACACAAGTTGTACCACAAAGCCATGGGTAGTGATGTCCGATCGATCATTAGTGTGTTCACAATAAATGGTAACGGAGTTTTTGAAGGATTGAAAACGTTGGTAGACGACACTAGAACTGTGGCTAAAACCATTTCTAATGCATTTCCAGAGTTGAAATATGCTCTGTTTTCGACCTGCCTCATGTGGTCGAAGGCTTGGAAGGGGGCAACAACTTGAAATATATTGGTGGAGATATGTATAAGTCTGTTCCTTCTGCTCATGCAATTTGCTAAAGGTATAAACCGGAACTAATGTACTTGTCCATTCATAATTTGCCTGGGACAAAATAAATTGGGATCAAAAGTAATCAAATGATGGATCAGGATAATATTTGAATTGTTATTTCACCTTTTATAACCCGATAATTTGATAAGTCATTTTATGTTCAATTTGTTATGTCAAGTTGACAAATAGATCATGATTCAACTTGTTTAGAATGACACGGATTGAATGTGCTGCTAAATGTTACATTGATTTTTCTATCTTTTGTTTAGTTTGTCTTGTTTTTATGTTAATATTTTTTAAGACAAGCAGTGGATATTACATGATTGGAGCGACGAAGATTTTGTTAAAATATTGAAGAAATGTACAGAAGCAATTCCAAGTAAGGAGAATGGAGGAAAGGTGATTGACATTGACATTAAGATTGATAACGCGAAAAGAGATAACAAATCATTCAAAACTCAATTGTTTTCAGATGTACTAGTGTTGTTTCGTGTTTCTGGAAAAACAGAGAAATAAAAGGAAATGAACTAGAATAGGCAAAACTCTTCTCTGATTCTGAATTTAGTCGCTAAATAATTAGTCCTATCTTGAGATTAGGTTTTGTTATTGAAGTTTGAACAAGAAATATTTTCTAAGAGAGTTATACAAATTGTGATATATCTCAATAGTTAACAGAAAGGAATATGCGAGACGAGAAATGTTCTTATGCATGTGATAAGAATATGAAGCTTTGAAAAAAATTATTTGTTTGAGTTATCTTCCGTCTATAGTTATTTTAATATTTACTTCTTGATGTATCATAATTAGCAGTTCATTTACATATACAGATTTTCCACATAGATGCTTTTTGATATCTAATTGATCATATGAGTTCAAAGTTTTAAATTTTAAATTTCATCTTTTAATTCATTTTGTGTTCAATCAATTACTTAAAATTTTAATTGTTTATTGTTGACTAATCTTAAATGTTAACATGGCCGGAGCCTGAGAAATTTTCTTTTGGTTGCTTAGTTCTCCCTATCAAGGGTGAATTTTATATAGTTCTTGCTGAACAATATGATAGAGATGACCTACCTCTTAAAGTTTTAAATTTTTTATTAGAAATACAAACAAAATTGAATGAAGATGAGATGAACAAATTTTCAGTCACAATACTCTTTATCAATTAAGGCTATGACACTTATCATGAAAATGATACAACCAAAAGGATGAGTAGAAGGTAAGATACTTTTCGTTCATTCTTTCGTTATATTTTTTATTAAGAAAACTATATAGTTATGGATAAATTTTCAGATTTCTACTCTCAGTGTTATAAGGTTTATCTTCACTAAGCTATTGTTTCTTATTTTCTCTTTTTATTTGTACTTAATTGTCACATTCACATTTTCATCATTATTTTTAGTGATCTTTTCAAGTTGTACATGAGAATGATGAGGTTGCTGGTGTTCACTTATAATTTCTTTGCAGATTTGATATAATTTATTCCCATGTGATTATTCAGTTTGGAACAATTCTATTTTGACATGTATCGATTAGCATAGATTTGAAGATTACTGAGATAGAGAGCTTAAATATTTTGTGGACTGATTTTGTTCTATTGTTTGATCAAGTTTTTTTGCCTCCATTTCCTTGAAAACATTGATGAGATTCCTTAAAAAAAAAGTGTTTGCCACAAAGAAAATGGATCCCAAAATATGAGGGTATCTGTTGTGAAGATATATCATGCTAGGCTAGACAGTATATTCATTGATACCCTCCCAATATTTTGATCCGTTGCTTGGTAAATCCCAATTTTGCAAGTGTGAGTTAATTTCAAGATTATTTTTGTAGTTTGAGTAGTTTAAAGGCTAATTTGCGTCATGATTATTTGATCCTGACCATAGAAAGTTGTGTTTTTCACATCTTGTTATTTTAATGTGCAGAATCGTCCCTGACAATCATAATAACAGAAATATTGCTTGCAGTAAAATAAAGTTGCTTATATGGCCCTTGATACCAAGCAAGCTTGACACAAATCACAATAAAAATGTGTTGTGTTAGATAACTTCAATCACCCTCTTTGTAAAGAACCTAGGTTCTTTTTTAATCTTTTGAACAAGTTCGTGTTGCTCTTTTAGTTGTGTTGTGTTATGTTAAAATGTTGCACGGTAACAAAAGATAAAATTTTGTCAATCCAAGTATTGCCCTATACATACTACTTCTAACAAAATATTTTAATACTGATTTGATGTTTTTTATTTGTTCATATTGGGCCGTGCTAGCACGGCCCGCGCCCATCTAGTATATATATACACTATAGTTTAGTCAAGATAAAATCGAGGATGGTTGGTGCGACATGATGACTAGTGTTTTGCATGATTTTTAATGTTTTTATGAGGCATTGACAAGATTGTAGAATATAATGTATATCTTGTTTTAACTCATGGACATGAATTTATTGTTAAGTTATCAAAATGACTCTTTCAATGTTTGTATTCAATTCGTTTCAGGCGGAAGAGGGTTATGATCAACAACAAATAGATTTATGGGTCTACAGAGAGAGATATTTTAAGAAACATAACATATTTTGCATGTACATTATTATTCAGTTTGAAATATATTATTTAGTGTAAAACTAGTATTATTTTATTAATACAATAATTTACTTATAAAAATGGGTTCTTAATTAACTAAACTATATAAGATTGTACAATTCAAATTTCCTACTCCTTCTTTTAGTATCTTCAAATTTTCATGTTTATCCTTATCAGTTTCATGTTTTCTTCAGAATGTTGAACTCTACTTCCAATATGAATTTCATGAAGAGCATTGTCGTCTAAACCTTTTTTATCGCGATTCAGAACATAACACATATCTTCATCTCTATTTGCAATAAGTATATTATATTTATAAGAAATAATGTTCTTTCCATCTTTGTAGAATCACCCATAATCAACACCGATTCAATTCAATGTTTGAAATTAGAACTGCCAAAGTTAACCATGTTATCAACATTAGTGTTCATCTCAAAAGTGAGACAAGACACCAACATAGACCAGACTTCATTAGTCATAACAATTTAATGACTTTTAATGCATTCTTTCTCAGTTTTCCTTCTTCGTCATAAGAAATTAGAAAAAAGTATTGAATAAACTTCTAACGATCCTTTTGCTAATTCCATCTTATGAATAGAGAGGCTAGTGCTAAAGGGGAAGTTGAATGTTTCATTGAGACGGTAGACACCAAAAACATCACATTCTCCCAATGATAAATGCATGAAAATCTATAAATCGTTCACTGATGAAGTCCATTCTATATTTGTGTCTCATCTCACTTCTCGGATGGCTGCTAGATTTGATGACACATTTTATTTTGCCAATTCTTCTTTCTCCAAATTGTATCGGACCATTTGTTTATGATTTATTCATTGAACATGCAATGAACTTGATTCCCTATACATACGATTTACTCACTACAACATGATACGAAGAAATGTTTTATATTTCAGAATTTGAGAAAAAAAGTTTAGACATTATTCTCCGTGCAAATAATACTTGAAATGAAATTCAATACACTGAAGAAGATCAAGAAAAGGACAAGGTTAAAAAGCAACATTTAAAGATACAAATGTAGTATTCCAGAAAAATTATTCTCAAATTGGAATGAAGAAATTGCTGATACTAAACAAGTTGAGATCTGAATGGTAGATAATGAGTAAAACATAGAGCTCATCATGGGATTAAGCAACATGAGATAGAAAAAGTCTCTAATCCAATAAATAATAGAATAGTCTACTGGGATATTAAATTACATAAGAAGGTAGCTTTCAAAGAATTGGATCAATACTTGGACGGCTACTTTTCTTAGGAAAAAGAAAGAGTGAACTCAAACATGAAATGATCATAATGCATGCTAGAAATTAAGTATCTCTAGTTAAACATGATTAATGTTTTGGGATATACAACACATTGCCAATTTTAATACTTTAAAACCATATCCTGTTTAAATAAATCTGAAATTTAACTTGAGAAAAATGTTTGGGGTGATTAACTAAGATTCCTATGGAAGTGCCACTTTGTGTGAAGCTTTTCCTACCAAAGGTAATTTAAATGGTGTATATCTACATAAATGTTATCGTAGCTTCCCTATTTTTCAAAATCAAACAATTAAGTGTATGTTGGAAAATAAGAGAACATTATATTTGTCGTTTTGATTATGGACAAAGTAAACTATGATGTATTATATATCATAACAAAAATTGGAGAATTGTAGGTAAATAGGAGAACACATGAGTAGTTTTAATGATTTATAAGTGAACCAATCTATGTGTTATTTAACTATTAAGAACCTAGACCTACATCAAGTAAAGATGAAGTGTAGAGTATATGTTGGTACTTGAAAGGTACAGATAATGCAAGATAGAGTAAATATGAAATAACATATAACTAAATAAGCAATAAATTAAGTATATAATGTAAAAATGATATATATAATTAATACTGACCTAGGTAAATGCAAGAACAAAATTTACAATATGCTGAGACCGAATATTGATTGTACTGTGTAGGTCACTATTATATTGTTTTAGTACTTTCCCCTAACTTACATTACAACCGGTTAGAGTCTTTTTTTATTCTATTCAAGCATGCTAAATTAGTTGAGATGTACTTTATGCGCAAGCATATGAATCTTTGTGAATACATGTAAATTTTATTTCTGAGTGTGAGTTGTTCTGTGATGCTAAATCATAAATGTATATTAAATATTTTGAATTGAGTGTGTGGACTGTTTCTCTTGTAAGACCACTTGTTTCATGATGGATAAGTGTTTCTATTAACATTCTTTGATGAGAGTATATGACCAAACTTAAATTTTATAAGTTAAAAGTTCTTGCTTGGGTTAGGAGGTTAGAGGTTTGTTGTTTATTTGAATGTCTTGCATAATAACCGGGAATCATACTTGATTTTTGAAATTAATATATGGTAAAATTGTTTGCGTCTACTTAAATGATGACATTCCTAGTATGATTTTAAGAGATGGACTTTAATGTTTGCTCGAGGACGAGTAAAAGTGTAAATGTAGTGTCTTGATTTGAGGCCAAAACATATTTTTTTAATCATTATTTTTCTTACGGTTATTATATATATTTATCCTAAATAATGTATTTTATTCGTAGAACTAAATTGGTATAGAGTTGAAGAAGCTTGAAGCGAAACCGAATTAAAGATAGAAGCTTGCAGAAGAAAATCTAGAAAGAATTTAAAAGTTATAAATAATACATAAGTTAAATAACAATTACAATTGCAATTCTACAGTAATGTGTTTGAATTTGAAGATAGGAACAAAATTTGAAACATAGCTTCACAGAGAAAATAAAAAGGAATTCAACTCTGTTTTGGTGTTAGGTTCCTAATTTTATTTGCATTCAATTATTTTATTCAGAGTTTTATATATCTACAAATAATTAAGAGAAATATTTATCGGAGAGAAAAGAATATAGAGCTTCAAGTGTAAAGTTGTGGAGGAATCACACGTCTTCGTCTTTCTAAAGAGCGTAGATTATGGTGAATGAATCACCCACATGTATTCTATACCCTTTTGAATTTTTTTTCTACGCAGTACTTTTTGTGTATCTTTTGTTGTATTGATGCACAATAATGGGTTTTTGGATCTAAGGATTTGATGGCTATATTAACTTATGAGTGTCTTCTCTTTTTTCCCTTGGGGATTTGTGGCTATGCCAGAAACTGGTCTAGATGGGTATGTCAGTTTGATGGTGTAACATTGTTCTATCCCTGAAAAACCTACACTTTCTTGTTTTCTTAACTACCCATTTTAACTTTTATCCTTTTGTGGTTTTTGTATGGATCGGTTATTACAAGAGAAAATGATAAAGTTAGATGTTTTTGATACTCTTTCTAAAAAATGATTTAGATAGATACAAATTATTCAGGACAAATAATAAAAAAGTGTTCACATGTGTGAGCTAGCTCACATTTCCTATTTCAATACCACATAAAGGATGAGGGTTGAATTAAGTGTAACGACCCGTTTAGTCGTTTTGAGCAACAGACTTCACTTCTGGAAAAACTGGCAGAAGCGACGGACCCCACGACGGAACGTAATGGGCACGACGGACCGTCGAGGGGGTCTCGTCCCAAAATACTAAAAAAATCTGAAATTGGGTACTGAAAATCAACTCTCTGAACTTTGTGACGGAATGGCAGGACGGACCGTCACAGACCCTTGGTGGAAATTTTGGTCTCTGAACTCTGCGACGACCTGCAGGATGGACCGTCGCAGGCACGACGGCCCGTCACAGGTTGCGCAAATCCAAGGCAGAGTCGGATTTTTGGTGAAGTTTTAAGGGACGTTTTTGGACTATTCTTTCCTTAATTATAGACTTCGTGGGTTTATATTTATAACTCAAATTCTTGAGGGTTAAAAGAGGTAACCCTAAGTTAATTAGCGGGGTATTATTGCCACCTTTTATTCTTAATTATATACTAATTAGGGTAAAATAAAGAGGA